TCCATCCGGTGTATGCACTGCCATAATGTTCGAACTTGATTAATAAAGGGCCCCCCCCCCCCCCTGAACAATGGAGGCGCCAAAACAATGGGGGTGCACTTTTGGGACGTCCAAACAATGGAGGGTTTTGGGGCCCAATTCTACTTTAGTATTGCAGCCGCTTCCTTTTTGCAATTCTACTTTAGTATTGCAGCCACTTCCTTTTTGCAGTTCTACTTTAGTATTGCAGCCACTTCCTTTTTGCAATTCTACTTTAGTATTGCAGCCACTTCCTTTTTGCAGTTCTACTTTAGTATTGCAGCCACTTCCTTTTTGCAATTCTACTTTAGTATTGCAACCACTTCCTTTTTGCAAATCTACTTTAGTATTGCAGCCACTTCCTTTTTGCAATTCTACTTTAGTATTGCAACCACTTCCTTTTTGCAAATCTACTTTAGTATTGCAGCCACTTCCTTTTTGCAATTCTACTTTAGTATTGCAACCACTTCTTCCTGAGCATACTTTTTGGAATACTACTTTAGTATTGCAACCACTTCTTCCTGAGCATACTTTTTGGAATACTACTTTAGTATTGCAACCACTTCCCTTTCAGTTCTTTCTGTAGTTCTGTAGCCATTCAAAGGGGTGTGCCTTTCAGCCAGGGAGGGCTTGAGCTAGAATGAAACCAGGTTTGGCGAGCTTGAGCCACCTTGAGCAGATGCATGGTTGGCCATTTCAGCTCAATTTCAAGTTTTTGGGTCAGTTTCAGCTTCCTGTGCAGCCATGACTTCAGGAAACAGGCAAGCTCTACATGATCAGGCTGAGGTTAAGTACCAGCAAATTGAGCCTGAACCCTACACAGTTTGCCAGAGCCCAGGCTGTGACTGATTTGCACTTGGCATTGAGTATTTTGCTTTCCTTGCTAATTGTTTGTTTTAGTGCTTAGGGGGTGACATGTTTAGTTGATCAGTTTGGGCCAACCAGCTTCAGGTGATGCCTGGATTCACAGTTCCAGGCTGCCTTTTCAGTCCAGGTGCTATAGGTGCAACTTAGCCACATGCTGGATCACAATTTTAGTTTCTTGCTGTGCCAATTTCAGTTTTTAAGTGCAAACTAGTTTGCTTTTGCTATGAATTGCTTGATGGTGAGGCAAGAGGAACTGGATGGTGTGGCAATTGAG